AGAAACCATTGATGGAACCATGTTTGGAACTCAAAATGGAGCAACTTTCATGTTCGGGTCGAAGGCCGAATCAACTTGGATCAATTTATTATCAAGCGACGAAAGCGGAAACTGAAAAGAAGTCCATGCGGCCGCACAGGCAAAATACCATGCGGCCTCACACATGCATACCGAAAGCCAAAAGACTAATTCCTGTTGAACCATGCGACCGCATGGATTTACACCGTGCGGCCGCACAAGCCAAAAAAATTGGCGAATTTTCTAATTTTGGCCGAATTTCCTAGTTTCGATAGAATTCTTATGAAATCAAATTATTACCATAATTTGATGGTTTTGGACATTTTTATTCATTAGTATAAATAGGAGAATATTTTTTTATTGTAACAACTTTGAAGTTTTGACTTTTGAATTAATATTATAGAGAGAGAAATTTATTCTTTCAATTTATTGTTCTTCTTGAACAATTTTGGAACTTATCAAGATTCAACTTCTTGTGGCGTTCTAATCAATCGGATTGTGGGTTCTTTTAATTGTAATTCAAGGGGTTTTAGGTTCTTCGCTAATCTAGGGTTTCTTGGTTTAATTCTTGGGGTTCAAGATCCAAAATCGGGTTAGTATTGGCGTTCTTGGGTTCCGCATCAATCTCGTTGTGGGTTTCGTAGTTTCCATTGCTACGGGGTTCGCATCAGTAGGCTTCAGGTATAGCATTAAGTAGTACTACAGCCTTATACTCATCAGAAACTTTCTCACCTGTACTAATAATGTCTTGAACTAACTTATTAAAAATGTCTAAGCTATCTTCTAAGTCTCTAGTTGGATCTATCCTAAAGATGAAAAATTTCTCTAATAGAAACAACTTATTATGCAAAGACTTAGGTAGGTAAAGTTTCTCTAATTCATCCCATAGGGCCTTAGCAACATCACGTTTGCCTGCTTTTCTTAAAACTTGATCAGACAAATGCAAAATAATGGAGGTATAAGCAAGTTCATCAGATTCTTCCTTTTGATCATCTGTAATGGTATCAGGAAATTCATCTGTTATTGCTTTAGAAACTTTTTGCTGAACTAAAACACCTCGTATTTTTTGTTGCCAAATGGGAAAATCCCCTTTTCCATCAAAAACACCAAGTTCAAAAGATTTTTGTCATGTTTTATTGTGAAAAACTAACACACAGTGTTTCCCAAAAAATTAAAACAAGACAGATAATCAACTTTTGAAAAATCTGTGGAATTTGATCTTCACAAAAAATTTATGTTTTAGGTCACAAAAAAATAAAAAAATATGCAGTCAAATGAATGAGCCACAATTATTTTAATCACAAATAATTTCAATCAATAACAGGATCAGTAGATATTTTAATGTAAACACCACAAGAACCAGAAAATGCAACAATGCAGGCAAGAACCATATCTCAGTATTAAAAAATCAATATCTGCAGGACCTAGGGTTGATCAAATTCACCAGGATTCCGTGAGAATCAAGTTCTCAGGTCAAGGCTCAATTTGAATCATCCAAACTTTAATGATCACAGGCAAATATAACGAGATATCACTAACTAATGTAACAAGTTACAATATACAGCAATTAAACATATCAACATAGAGGCATATACTCATAAATGCAGAATTAAGAGTGTGTACAGTCGTGTAGGGTTCAAGAAGTGCAAACCGAGGGTGGTTAAACAGTTAACCACTAGTTGAAATCAGAAACAGGTTATCGCAGAAGGGGATAAGTGCTCTGCAGGTCACCAAATTTCAAGTCAAGCCCTTACAGCTTCGAGTCCTTCCAATCAATTTCGAAGTTAGGGTTCCAGCTCAAGAACGAATCCACAGGAACTTGTTTTTAAGGTTCTTTCACAGATCAAGGCGAGGAGTCACAGAATTCCCTCGCATTTCATAGTCCAGTAATGAATCAGCTCCACAGACCACTAGGTCGACTCAAATCAAAACCTAGGGTTTCGCGATCTACAGTCGAACACCTGGAAATTAATTTTCCAGTGTTCAAACCTTCAATCAAAGACTCAAGAACGGACATACAAGGCTGATATACAAGGCTCTGATACCACTATTAATCCAAGATATGTTCAATTTATATATCAAAACTATACACAGCAGATTTACAGAAAACCTAAACCACTGGATCAAGGTTTAGATCTATATTTAGGTTCAGACCATACGCCCTTTCGAACCATCACAGAGGCACCTAACTCAGTAACACGAGCCCTCACAACCCCAAACACCAAGTCGCTTCACTGGAACCAAAAATGGACAGAACACTTCCAACAGTTTACTCACACAAAGGAGACTAACACAAGGACACGATTATCACAAAGATAATCAACAGAAATTCTCACATAGAAAAGAAGAAAAGGTCATAAAGACGAAGCCATTGAAGGTTCCAGAATACACAGAGAAAAAGAGAACAGAAAAATGACCATCCGAATCCCAAACAAAGCATAAGGGTCGAATATATAGTAAAACCCATCCACCGTTAGATTGAGTGGGTTAATCCAACGGTCCAAGAACGACTAGGGATATATGGGCTGAATATTGGGCTCGGTTTAAGTAGGCCTTCTAGGTATATTAATAATGGACCATCTATTGATTCCATATTGGGCCTTTTTCATCACTGCCTATTAGTTGGACTGATCAAATGGCATCACAGCCCATCATGTATGTTAGCGTAGTAGACGGGAATAGGAGCAAGTAGTAGTGGGTTGTTTGCGGTTAATCTATACTGGCTAGTGTTTAGTTGATTTTGAGAAACTCTCGGGTAGTTTTGAGAGAGTGGGCTATTGAGATGAAGACGATGACTCTTGGAAGTTGTGTTTGGCAATTTGTATATGGTGGCGGTTCTGGTGTTTGAAGATGGGGTGATGTTGGGAGCTAATTTTTTTATTTTTTATTTTTTACCCAAAAGATGCTGTCAGCGGTTGTTGTTGGAGGTTGTTTTAGCAATTACAGTTTCAACATTCTTTAACAGCAAAATCCAGGTTTTAGCTCTGATAATAAAATATGATTTATCAATTGAAATATTTAACAGAGAAAGAGAAAAGAAATCTAAGAAAAAGAACAATAGAAGAAGAAAGGAAAGAAGAAGAGAAGCAAGAAAGAGGGTAGAACAGGAGAAAAGCTGGGGAGAAGACCGAAGGAGAAGAGATTTAGGTAGGAAGACGGGAGAAAACTTGTTAACCAAGCATTTCATTCATATTCATCAATCATCACCTCCTTTGAAATTACATTACCAATCTATGAAAATAGAGAAAAGGAACACCACATAAATCCTCCATTTAAAAATCACATTTCAAAACTAAAAAACTTATAAAAATCTTTCAAAAATAAGATGATAATTAAATTTATTAAATATTTAATTATAATATAGGATAATTAATCTACTTATCCAACCCCACCCCAACCCATCCACCCATCATATCAAACCTTTCTCTTTCTCTCTCCATCCCACCTCATTTCCAACAACGACTCCGACAGCTTCTCCGGCGACTTTCGACGACGGCTCCGGCAACTTCTCCGACGATAGCTCCGGTGACATCCCACGAAGGCTCCAGCACAATTCTGACGACTTATCTCGTTTCGACAAACATTCCGACGACCTCTCCGACCGTTCCAGGGACTTCCGATGACCACTCACCTTTCCGCAGACTACCTTTTTTCTTCTCTTCTTTCTTGGCAATGACTTGTGACCAATTGCATTAGATCTATAACATGTGCATATTGTGATCTGTGATAAGTTCTATTAAATCTGTGAGATAATCAGATAGGATGAATATGCATATGATCAATTTCAAAAGTAAGTAATAAAGTTTGAAATTTCACAAATCAAATATTATTAAAATTTTAGTTATGAAATAATTAATAAAAAAATATTTTTATAATTAAATATATTAAATTAAAAAATCTTTTTTTCTTTTTTCGGGCAATAACTTGTGACCTGTGTACATTGTGACATATAAAATATGATTTTGTATTATGTGATTTCTAACCCGTGACTTGTAATATAAAATTTGACCTACAAATTTGATCTGTGACTTCTACAAAACATGTGACCTGTTAATACTGATCCGTAACCCGTTTATACTGATTTGTGACTTATATGAAATGACTGTGACTTGTGAACTCAAACTTGTTACTAGTGAACTATGACCCATAATGTATAAATTGTGACCTTATGTGTTCATAACCAAATTTATCTTCGGTGTGATTGTTTATGACCATGCTAGTCTAATTTGTGACCATATATGGTCACAGTTAACACAAATCTTGTCTCAGACAGTCACAATGAAGATCGATTTGGTCTCTCACCATCATTTCCAACACCGGCAACCAAACGTATACCATCTCACCAAAACCACGTGTACTACCAACAATGGAACGATTGGCACTGCACCGCACCATACCATACTCACACCACTACCATTATAGCCTAACAGCATCGCCACCGACGCCAACACCAATGACCCAAACTACCACCACCAAATTCAACAAAAATCGCCCCAACTGCCATATCACCGCCACTACCAATTAAAAAAATCAGTCACCACAATATCCAACAAACCTACTGCCTCAAAAACGTCGCCACTGCACCATTACCACAACTTGAAAAGATCTCATGCTCGACTGCTTGTGGTGCGGTGGCCTGCGTGCGTTGTTCGCTGGAGTAGAATGGGTAGAAAGAAGGAGGAAACACAGCAGTGTCCACTACATCCACTGCCGCAACCACCACCGTCGATTGCTGCCACCACCACCAACACACCAATACCAGAACCTGTATCCACAAATCACCATCATCATTTCCTCAAATCACCACCACCATCTACTTAATCTCTACCACAATATTCCCAAACAGGCTTGGTGATCATCACCTTCAACAATAATAATTTTAAGAGTCTCAGGAGATAAAATTCTCGACACACAATAATAATTATCACGCTAGCATCTACTAATAACATAATCAAAAATAAAATTCAAATGAAAACAAAAGAAACACTAAAGACCTCGAATTTATTGAAATTAGAAAATTATCTAGTCAGATTTGAATAGATTGTAGAACAACTGATAAGTTATATGCTAATAACTGAAAGAATATTGCAAGTAAAGAGTTATTGGTGGATCTGAGTCAGATTTTGACGAAGATGGAAGTCGAGGACTTGGTGGATCTGACATCTGAGTTAGACTACTGCACCGGCATGGCGAAGGAACGACGACTAATAGGTGACCATCGTTGTAGCGATCGGTTTGGGCATGAGAAGGAATGGCGACTAATCGCTCCAATGTGGTTTCATTCCCTTTCTGCTTCACAAATAGAGAAAAAAATGATTTAGTTTTTTAACACCCAATTTTTCTAAAAAATTCTCAATCACCTTATTTTTTATAATTAAATCTTAAACCCCTGATTTTAGGCAATTTTCCCATAGAGAAATCTACAAACCCAGAAAGTAAATGGGCTTGGGCCAAGCCCAATTTAAACTAAAGAAAACATATATGGGGGATGACCACATCAAGAATACTCACATAGATTTTTGACAAGATTCAATTGACCTCCCAATTAAACAAAATTGCAAACAAATTTCATTTTCCCTTATACTAAATGTACCTCGCATCGCGGCTTAAATCTTTGTGAATTTTCTGTACTTGAAGCTTGCACCTAAAAAAAAAAAAGAAAAGAAAAAGAACAGAATTAAACTTAGGAATCAAGAAAATATGACTGAAACGAATGCACGAATCAAGCGGGTTAAGAGATTTCGTGAGGCAATAATTTTGTTGAGAAACGAGAGAGACCAAGAAAGGGTTTCAATTTGCAAGGGAGAGCCTGTGAAATAATGGGTTGGGAAGTTAATTTGCATGTTGAAATTGATTTTCTAAGCACAAGTGCACGAGGTGACGTGACACATTATAATATGTAGTATAATCAACTTTGTAATCAATCATTATCTTCCACCACCTATTATAGTATGACATGTCACCCCATTACTTAGCATAAGATAGCACAAGTGCTTACGAGATTGGTCATGTTGAATATGTTTAATTAAAGTGGGCTGTGTTATTTTGTATGTTGAATTAAATTGGGCTGACTTCTATTATATTAATTTAAGTAATATTTATTTAATTAATAGCATTTCTAATAAGAATGTTATGATTAAATGTTATAAAAAGTAGAAAATGTTGTAGTGTGAGTGAAAAATTTCAAAATAATTATACTTGCTCATTTACACTTTTTTTTAATCGAAAATTGGAGTTTGCATTAGTTATCAGTTCACAATATATATAATGGACAAAGACAGACTTTTCTCTTAGGTTCCTTTTAGTATGTCCAATTTGATGCAAGTCACCGCTAGTTTATAATGAAGGAAAGTCACTACCCAGCAAAGAGTAACTTCATGTGAACAGCTAGTTGAAAAGCAGTATATTTTAATCTCTACCCACTATATGGCACATGATTTCAATAACTGTCACAATCCTAGTTACTGAGAAGTATTGAAAGGATGTCCACTTGTGAGAATGCTAGAGTGGAATGCAGTTGTTACTCAATAGTGATAAAGGTGAATAAAAGCAGTACAAATTATCAGCACATTGTATATAAAATAATTTATTCACTAGTGTGATTAGGTATCACGGTTATTTTAAGAACAGATAGTTTGAGGACCCAATTAAGACAAATTAGGTATCATGAAATTTTCAACATTTTCCACGAATCAGGTATCATGATGATATAAAATCGACCATTGACAGGACAGGCAAAGAAATCTCAGCATTGGCATGTTTCGACAAATGAAGAGTAGCATAATATGCAATGAACAAAATGCTTTGCCTTTTTCTAGGACAATCTACTAATGCTATATTAATTTAAATTAAATACACATAGAACTTACCACTCCTGTAGTCGCAACCCTTGTCGCAATTCCTTCAAAATTCCTCTAAACTGCAAAAAATAATGGAAAGGAGAAAAAGACAATAAAGTAGATTAAATTTAAGTAGTATACATCTTTTACACATCATTTCACATGCACGCCGAATTCATTTTTCCATCATGTGCTTGACAAAATAGCAGGACAATGTCAAGTACGTGTTGTGCATGCTAATCAAATTATCCAAAAGTAAAAATTGCTTTAAAGGGACTACATTTAGGGGCATACCTACTTTAAGAAATTAGGCCTTCCCCCCCCCCCCCCCCACCTCTCCC